GCGGGCCCCTTACCCGAGTCATTCTTTATCGGGACTGATTGCCTGAATGAGCTTCGTGCTTTTGCGCACAGTGGAATATTCTTGGCGGCCTTCCCTGAGACTGATCCGAGGCTGCTCGTGGATTCTGATGGCTCTGCTGTTTCCATGCACGAGGGAGCCCCTGTTATGTGTCGTCTCTTGCAGGAGGGTACATCTGCCGGTCCTGCAGCAGCCACTCGGCTTCATGATGCCCGTACTGCCACACTGCAATTAGGCTATCAGTGGCCGCTCGAACCTGCCGAGATCCAGCCCCCTGGGCTGGCCGACGATAGTGAAATATCAGAAGGCACTGATGAAGCTGTTGTCTTGGTTGACACGGTTTTTGCCATTCTTGCGCCCGACTATCAATTCGAAGTCCTCAGCCTATCCATGCTTGTCCCTCAAGCAGAAGACGCTGCCCTGGATCTGGTTGACACATGCCGGCGTCGAGATTGGCAGCTTTGCTTTCCCAAGCTTGCGGCGGTCCGCCCACAGCCCGATCCACGATGGGCAGTGTTGCTTATGCTGCCCGCATGGTTCCAGCGCGATGCGGTTATCTGTCTAGACTTGTCCGCCTTAGATGGCAGAATTTTTGCCTCCTGGGTGCCCCGTCGAGTTGACCGTGCCTTTTTGCTGGGGGTGGCTGGGTTGGCAAGCGGAGCGGCAGTTGATGTATATGCTCCAGGGTCTGCCGTCCCTCTGCATCATGATGCCGTGTTCTACCCTCAGATCGGTCATTGCTTCCGCTTTGTCCCGGTGGACTATGTGCTTGGCACAGAGGTGACATTTGCGGAGATGCTCTCTTCGCCGCTTGGTTGGGCTGCGGGCCCTCCTTTTCCTCTCCCAGCACATGATCCTTGCTACTGCGGTGTTGGAGATACTTTTGTCCGCAATTTCACACTCTACCCGCATCGTTCCACGCACTATCGTGCTGATATTGCAGCGTTGTTCCAGCTCGATGTTCTTCATCTTGTGCTTACTCCCTCCGATCCTCGGCAGGAAGACGCTGCTTGCTTCGGGAGGCCCAGTCGGGCAGTTGTGGCCGTTGGACAAAGCATGCGCCGCGACCCCTTTCCCGTTGGTCTCCTGGACTGTCGCCAGTTACTTTGGGGGTGGAGGCGCATCTCTTCCGAGGACGGTTGGATCAATCTGCGTGCACTCGGAGAGCGTTTTGCTTGGATGGCCCCTAATGGGTGGACTGTCGTGATACGTGCATGGCCGCAGGAAGGCAGTTGGCTGCGTATCGTCCCAGGTCAGGTGATTGTCCTTTCCATTGAGCAGGTAGGCGTTCCTGCTGATCATGTCCTGCCCCCACCTGATTCAGACGGTCCGCCTCCTCCTGACGGTCCTTATGACAGTCGGCTGCATGTCTGGAGAGATGATGTCTCAGCACCTTTGGGTCCGTCCCCTGCTTCACCCTGTTTGGGAGTACATGGCGCGCCAAGCACAGGCCCGGCAAGTGAATGCGGCCCTTGGCTGGCCTTGTGCCCCAAGGCACGTCATCTACAGCTCTTGGGCCGGCCGCCGTTTTTCTATGCGCAGGCGCTCTTCTGCTCCTCTTTTCAGGATGGGGCGCCCGCTTGCTCCTATCGTTCCTCGGAGTCATCAGTTTGTCGGCCTGCAGCAAACCTGTAGGAGGTGCCCCTTTCGGCGGCGGTCTGCTTCTCGTTTGCCTCTTTTATGGTTTGATTGGTGTGCAGACAGCTGCTGGCATGCACCTGATGCCTCGCCCAGCAGCTGTCCCTGAGCGATTTGGACTTGCTGCTCATGCCCCATGCTTACCGGATTCGCGCACTGCCATTCGGGCCGTGGCCACACCGTGCCGTGCATTAGGACGGTGGCCTGACCTCATTGAGCACGTCCCTGATAAGGTGGTTTGCGGTGAGCCTGGACAGCCCGAGTCAGATGCACAAGACTTTTGCGGCTATGACCTGTGTACCCTGCTGGATGAGGCAGCTTGCCGCTCAGATTGTGCTGCCTTCTACTTGGCTGCTACTTTGCTTGAGGCTTTGTCTGAGCATTTCGCGGCCCCAACCCCTGCGGTTGTTCTCTCCCTCTCTGATGCCCTAGGTGATGAGGCGTTGGGCTCTTCGGGAGACTCAGGTAGGCTGCAGGGAGTCGTATCCTCGGGTCCGGAGATTTTCGACCTGACGGGCAGGCAGTGCGTTCTTCCATGCCATGTTGCCCTTTTGGAGTCCTTGACCTGTTCTTTCCCCTTCAGTCAGCTGCAGGGTCCCGCAGGCCCACTGCCCATGCCAGAACGTTTTGAGGGTTGGCTTCGTGACTCCCAAATAGGGCGCGCACCGGCACCCGGAGAGTTCATCATCATCACAACCGATGGTTCTTTTGACCCAGATACCGGTTCTGCGGGATGGGCTGTTGTGCTCAGTCTGGTCGCTCCGGACGACCTTCTCCTCCCTGGTCAGCTGATAGGCTGCGCCTCTGGATCTCTCTGTGACTTTCGGGCGGTCATTGGGGAGGCCTTTGGCTGCAACAGTGCCTAACTGTCTGAGGTTGCTGCGCTCTTTTGGGGCGCTGTTTTTGCCTTCCGTCTTCCTGCGGGAGCGGCTCGGGTCTTTCGAGCGGATAACATCGCTGCTCTCCATGGCGCTGCCGGATGGATGCGTTTGCGAGACCATCCTCTCTGCCAAGCTACTGCATCACTACACACTGCTTATGGCCTTATGCGCGGGGTTCCCTCTTACCAACATGTGCTCGGCCACTCAGCGGATCCGGCTAATGAGCTTGCTGATGCCCTCGCTGGTCGTGCCTCACGGACCCGTAGCGGGTTCTCTTTCCCTCCTTTTCAGCTTGCCGACTGGTTCTCTCATGCAGGGGCGGCGTTTGCTTGGCTACCGCATATGTGCTATACGCTGCGTGCCCCTCATGCAGTCCCCACCGTTCGAAATGAGGTTATGTCGTGGAGCCGGGGAGACTCCCAGATGCACATGTCGCCGGCTGAAACAATGGCTCCATTTCTGCGAGTGTCGGATGGAGGTACTTTGGCTGCAGTGAAGGGCCGCGCTTTCACTACTGCAGCCGGGCTTGCTTCCTTTAATGTGCTTTCTCTTCTTGATCCGGGAGGACGTTCTCAGAACTCCGGCATACATGGGGCTGCCGGACGGGTTAAGCTTGTGTGCGATTCGTTCCGGTCCCATGGGATCGTTCTGGCGGGACTTCAAGAATGTCGCACTCCTCCTGGCGTCATGGTTTGCCAGGGCTTCAGGCGCTATGCGTCAGGGCAGGATTCCAATGCCTGCTTCGGTGTTGAACTCTGGATCTCTGAGACTGGGCCTTTTGACGTAAGTTCGACTATCGTCCTGCATGCGGAGCCCACTTTCATGATCGCCGGCCTTTCTTTCCATGGACGTTCCTTGCGTGTCCTGGTTGCCCATGGTCCACACCGGGTGCACCCGGAAGCTGTTAGAGACGCTTGGTGGCAGCGTGTTTCGCAGCTGTGCAGTACTTATGCCCGTGGGGCGTCCTGGGTTGTTCTTGCGGATGCCAATTGCCGTGTTGGCAGCGTATGTAGCCCTGGGATCGGTGGTCACCAAGCTGATGTTGAGGACTTTTCGGGTTCTCTTTTTCGGCAATTGCTTGATGAGCTTGGCTGTTGGCTTCCGGCCACCTTCTGTGACTCCGCTTGGGGAGCGGGAGGTACCCTGTACCAGAAGCGTAGTGGTGAATGGGATCGATCTGACTTTGTGGCGCTCCCATGTACGTGGAGCCTTTCACGATGTGCAGCTTGGGTTGAGCCCACCATTTCTGCAGGGCATAGATGCCTGGATCACTGTGCCGTGGTCGTCTCCTGTGTTATCTCCTTCCCAGGGGCATGTCGCAACCGGGCCAGTGCTCGACGTATTGATGCTAATGCGGTCGCATGCCCCGGCAACCGAGCTTTTGTCGAGAATATCATCCAGCATGCTCCTGTCCCTGCTTGGTCCACTGATGCTAGCGAACATGCAGCTGTCCTTGCTCTACCGAAGTCTGGTGGAGGCTTTTCCAATGGCCAGACGACGGATGCGAGGCACTCACTTCTCTGACGAGACTCAACGTCTACATCAGCTTGTAGCAGGCCTGCACCACTCTATCCGCGCACGCACCATCGCATATAACAACACGCTGCTTAGGTGTGCCTTCGCCTGTCTCCGCCCTGATGGACCAGCTTTTGTGGAGGTGTTCTCAGGCCGCTGGTTGTGGCGGCTGCAAATACGCAGAGCCCTTGACTGCATGTTGCTTGGTCGATTCGGGAAGCGCCTGCGAAGGAGCTGCAAGCAGGACAATGCCGATCGCTTGGTTCAGCTATCTGACCAAATAGCCTCTGCCCCGTGTGCCGAGCTCCATAAAGAGGTGCGCAAAGTTCTTAGACCCAAGAAGTTTCGCAGAGCTACGGCCTCTCCTTTACCACTTCTGCGTAAGGCCAATGGTGAGGTGTGTGCTTCCCAGGCTGAGGTCACGCAGGTCTGGCGCGATCATTTCCGGATCCTTGAAGCTGGGCAGGAAACTTCGTCTGCAGCTCTTTTCGACAGGTGTCGCGTCAGGCAGCTTTCTTTTGAAGGCACGGACGCTGTCGAATGTGTCTCTATCCCTACCTGGGACCAGCTCCATGCTGCCTTCCGGGCCACGTCGCCGCATAAGGCATGCGGCCCTGACCTGCTTCCGCCGGTCCTGCGCACGCTTTTCAGTCAACGTATGACGGAGGCATTTTGGCCCCTCATGCTTAAAGCTGTGCTTCGGGCCAACGAAGCAGTGGGCCTCAAAGGAGGAGTCTTGCACAGGATTGCCAAACCTTCTGCTGTTGAAAACACGACGGCTGGCTATCGTGGCATCCTTGTGCAATCATGCCTTTCGAGGTTTTGCACCGTGCAGCTCGTCACATGGCAGTCCAGCATTGGGACCGTCACGTTTTGCCGATGCAAATTGGAGGGCGTCGGGGGTGCCCTGCGACGTTTGGACATTTCTGCTCCCGGGCTTTCCTGGCCATGGCCCGTTCCCGGAGTCAGACTGCAGCGATCCTCTTCGTCGACATCGCCGCCGCTTACTATGGCGTCGTCCGTGAAGCCATTCTGGGCTGTGGTGGCAGTAGCTGCCCATTAGAGCAGTTGGTGGCATCTCTAGGCCTTACGCATGATGATTTGCAGCGTCTCCAGGTGTACATTGAGCAGGAGCCGGTCCTGGCTCAACAAGATGCGCCGGCGCTCTTTTGCGAGGTTGCGGAGGAACTGCATAGGAACACCTGGTTTATCCTTTCAGGGGATGCCCAGGTAGTAGAGACACACCGAGGCACTCGACCTGGTGGTTCCCTGGCTGACATTATCTTCAGCATCTTGTTCAGCCGTGTCCTGGGCAGGCGCTGTCAATCCACGTTGCAGCCCTTTGTGCCGAAAGTTTGCTGGAATGGAGTACGCACCCCCTGGCCCGACGCCACCCCGGATGGCTGCACAGCTCGAAGCGTCGAGGCAAGTGATGTGGTGTACGCTGACGACCTCGCCAGTTTTCTGGTCTGTGCTCGTGCCGAAGAGGTGTCTCATATGGTGGCTAATGTTGCTGCCGACACGATAGACACTTTGCTCCCGCATGGGCTCAACGCTAACATCGGCCCCACCAAGACGGCAGCACTGGTCGTCCCCGCAGGTAGAGGGTCTAAGGCTGCCCGTAGACGGCTTTTCAGTGAGGGCAAGGGACGTCTGGTAGTATTGCCTGAAAATCGAGGAGGTTTTAGGCTTGACCTGGTCCCCGCGTATAAGCACCTGGGATCCATAGTGACCCATGATGGTTGCCTGCTCCTTGAAATCCGGCATAGACTTTCTGCCGGCAGGACTGCAATGAAGGAAGGAAAGCAGCGCCTCTTTGCTTGCAAGCGTGTCCCGCTTCTGCGCCGGGCCAGCATCTTCCGGGCCCACGTGCTTTCTGCAGTACTCCCTGGAGCGGGTACTTGGCGTAAGCTACAGGGGCAGGAGTGGGCTGCCTTCTCTGGGGGTATAGTGAGCCTCTATCGCCAGCTTCTAGGTTTGCGCACTGAAGGCGGCTTTCGGTGTACTGAGGCACAGATTCTCCACAGGGTAGGTCTTCCTTCTCCAATGTCCCTTCTGCAGACTGAGCGCCTGCGCTTCCTGGGACAGCTTGTTAGACATGGGCCGGATGTTGCCTGGGGCCTTCTATCGCACTATGAAGGCTTTAAGGCCGGGCTCCGCGATGCAGCGGACTGGTTGTTGGCTGCGACGGGCGCAGCTGATGGGCTTCCCGATATCCAGCGCGGTTGGGATGTATGGATGCGTCTCTTGTCAGACTCCCCTGGGCGTTGGAAGGCCATGCTTAAGCGGGCTGAAGCCTGGTACTCTTTGCGTGACAGTCAAACCGCTCTGCTTGATGGCTTTGTGCGGGAGGTGTGGACGAATCGTGCCGTGCATCACCCCACTACTCTTTCACAGTGTGAGCATGCTTGCCTTCTGTGCCGTGTTGCGTTTCGTACCAGACAGCAATGGGGTGCTCATGCTCACAGGACCCACAACTACCACTCGCGAGCACACCTGATTGCAAAAGGTCGCACCTGTCAGGCTTGCGGGCTTCAGGTCTCCTCCGAGGGGAGGCTACGTACACACTTGCGTTTAAGCCCGTTGTGTGTTGCACGGGTCGAGGCTTTAGCCGCAGCTGGCGCCCTGGTGGTTGACTCCTCTGTGGGTCACGTGCAAGCACCGGCCGTGCCAGGTATCGGCAGGAGCTCCCTTGCTACCCCTAGCCCTGAGGCCTGCACGGCTCTGGAAACCTATCTCGTTACTTTTCGGCCTAGTACCGAAGACGTCGATGATGAACTTTTCCAGGCCGTTAAGCAGCACATCGCGCCCCTGCCTGTTCTGCGCTTCACGCTTGAGCAGTGGATTTCAGGTTTGCCTGTGGGTTCATTGAGATCCGCTGCTGAGGACGTCCTGCTCATTCTGCGGCCAGAGCATGTGTGCGATCGGGTGGCTGGTCCTTCTGCCGGGAACGAGGACGTACCTCTGTCCTATCTCCCGATTGTGGATGTCCCCAGAGCAGTCCCACGAGCGCCTTCTCTCCCCATTCTGCATAACTGCAGGGTGCCCCAAGCATGGCGGGCCATCCATTCACTCCAATCAGCACCGCTGCGCTTGATTTCCTTTGGGTCTTTGGTGCAGCAGGCAGGGGGCGCCTGCTCTGGCATCTGCCTTGAGTTTCCGGCTCCTCCTGAGACGCTATTGCCTGTCTTCCGTCCCCCTTCTTGCTCTGTCCGCTCCCTTCGAGGGCTGTGCGATTGGATTAGCGCGGTCCTCGACGCGCTTCGTTTCCTTGTTGCACAGGCCAGGTCAGGTTGTCCCGTCTTCGTCCGGTTCCCAGTCGACAGGGATGACCTACAGCCTCTCTCGGGCTGGCTGATGGACATGCAGGGGCCTGAGTCAGAGGAGACGGCTTTTCCCGTTAGTTTCACTTCTGAATTCAATCGTTTCTGTTTGCATTAGGTACGTCTTTTGGACATTCAACCTGCCCGAAAGAAAGAAAGCCCCTACATAGAACCCTATCATAGATCCCTTATAGAAGCCTTTAAGGATCCCTATAAAGGAACCCCATTCTTTTTATTGAGGCCCTAAACCCCAAACCCTAAACCCTAAACCCTAAACCCTAAACCCTAAACCCGAAACCATTAGTGAAGGTTTAGCGGTTTTGGGGGTCGAGGGGTTGGGACTTAGTCCTAAGAGGAGACTCACAGCTCGGAGTGACGGGCTGTAAGGGTTTAGGGTTTAGGGTTTAGGGTTTAGGGGCTTCTTGCACCAGGCCGGGTTTAGGGTTTAGGGTTTAGGGCTTAGGGCTTAGGGTTTAGAAACTAAATGCTAATCCCTAAGCCCTTTTGGACCCCAGACCGTTCAAAACCCTACGCCCAAATCCCTCAATCTTGTTTCTCTCAGGAATGTAGTTTGCCACTACCGGGACATGTAGCAGGGCTTGTTCCTTTAATAGTATCCCCCACAATGAAGAAACACAACATGCAACAAGACCCTACTTCACACGAGAACCCTAAACCCTAAACCCTAAACCCTAAACCCGTATTGTGGCAACTGCAGAGTCCAGCCCCCTCCCCCGTGGCGATCCTGGCGCCGCCCAGAACGGTGCCAAGGAAGCGCCGCCACGCCTGGGTGGCCTGCATCAGGCTTGAGAGGTTGCAGAAGGGTTCTACATGGGTGGTTGTCAAAATTAGGGTCCCTTTTGGGTCCTTATTAGTATAATACGGCGTACCCCAAAAGGGACCATAATTTTGACAACTACCCACATGCGTTCTCAAGAACCGTAAACCCCAAACCCTATTTTGGGGTTTGGAGTGTGAGACTTAGGATGGAGTGGCTGTGGGCGTTGGGGGTTTGCGGGTTGTAGGGCTGCAAGGGTTCTAGGGTGGTCCTCCACTGGCCTTCAACGACCCCAAGTCAAGTGCTGCAGAGCTCGGACAAGTTTAGGGATCAGGGTTTAGGGTTTAGGGTTTAGGTTCGAAAAGGCATGGGGCTTTGGGTTTAGAAGGGTTCAGAGCTCGAAAGGCTTACGGTCTCGGGCCCAATGTGTTCCTTGAGGGTTTAGGGTTGAGAGGAGGGTTTCGGCGATCTGAGGCAGTGTTGAGCCGCACTAAGTTCGGTAAACGACCGGGCGAGACAACGAAAACAAACCAGGTGGAATGCACTTATTATATCTTCTTCTGATGCACAGAACACGAACAGCTCATGCAGGACCTGAGCAACCACAATAGAGATGTGGAGTACAGGAAAACATCTGTACCTACAAGGGAACTACGAGGGTATGCTCGTCCGGATTCTTCAGGCTTCCAGCGGTTAACCGCGAAGATGAAGGGCGGCTTAGGGCTTAGGGTTTAGGGCTTAGGGCTTAGGGTTTAAAACCTAAGCCCTAAGCCCTAAACCCAAAACCCTCAACCCTCAACCCTAAACCCTAAACCCTAAACCCTAAACCCTAAACCGAAATCTGATTACTACCAGTCAACCTCCAAGCAGATGCCCGCGAACCCTGAACCTTCTAGCTGGTCCACGGGCGCCAACTCCCAACACCCCTGGAAACTCTTTAGGGGTTAGGGTTTAGGGGTTTGGGGATTGGGGATTTAGGGTTTAGGGTTTAGGGTTAAGGGTTTGGGGGTTTAGGAGTTTAGGCTTTAGGGGTTTAGGGGTTTAGTGGTTTGGGGGTTTTGGGTTTAGGGGTTTAGGGGTTTAGGGGTTTAGGGCTTACTCCTGCCCCCCCCTCTCTTGGGAAGATAAGAAGCAGAAGCAGTAGTACTCGTAGCACTACGTAGCAATACAACACTACTTCGCAGATAGAGGCTTCAGGGACCCTAAACCCTAAACCCTAAACCCTTAACCCTAAACCCCAAACCCTAATTTTAGGGCATTTCTGATTTTTGCGGAAGCTTTCGGCTACACCCACCTGTTATGGGCTTTAGGTTTCAGAGCATGCCCGAGAGCCTCCGGTTTTGAAAACGACCGGACTGGGGTTTGGGGGGGTATATGACTACAGACCACAAGAGTGTTCAGGAGCCCTGAAGGAATAGCAGTGTTTAGGGTTTAGGGTTTAGGGTTTATGGGCTTAGGGTTTAGGGTTTAGGGTTTAGGGAACCCTAAAGGAATAGCATTGATGAAGCGTTACGACTCTTCTATTCCTCGCCTTCGCATCGCTGATGAGTGGGGCCACATCCAAGGATGTCTCGCGAAAGTTCTCCTGCCAAGGGCTAAAGCTGGGCTTGGGCTCCCTAAACCCTAAACCCTAAACCCTAAACCCTAAACCCTACGGGGGAGTTCCTGAGAGCCGTGCACCGACATCTAACTCCGTAGGGTTTAGGCTTCCTAGAAGGCTTCCTTGAAGGGGCTCCTAGGGTTTAGGGTTTAGGGTTTAGGGTTTGGGGTTTAGGGTTTAGGGTTTAGGGTTTAGGGGTTTAGGGTTTAGGGTTTAGGGTTTAGGGTTACAGTCTTGGATGTTTGCGTTTTCGAGGTTTGGGGTTTAGGGCTGAGGGCTTTCGGGTTTGGGATGTCTCCACCCTGGAGCCCTCCGCTCTCACGTCTCCAAACCCCAACGTGCTCCACCCCATGCTTTCGGGTTTAGGGGTTTAGGGTTTGCAGTTTGGGGTTAAGGGTTTAGGGTTTAGGGTTTAGGGTTAGGGCTTAGAGTTTAGGGTCAAGGTCTTGGATTGTGACTTTACGGCTAACGATCCTGGAAATGGGGGATAAGGGCCCCTACTGGGTCGATTCCGGAAAACCTGCGTTGTCAAGTCCTTGTGTCTGTGTGGTCTGCGGGCCCCTATTTTCAAATCCTGAAACCCCAGAACCTTCTCCCCTAAACCCACCAAAACCTAAACCCTAAAAGCCTAAAGCCTGTAGCTTAGAATTGGAAACGCCAAATCCCAAGCCCCACCCCCTAAATCCCGTACATACCCTAAAACCCCAACTGACATCCCTGTGAAAGCTATGGGGCTCTGGAGATGGAAGGTGCGAGGGGTGTAGGGTTTAGGGTTCAGCGTTTTAGCATTTGGGGTTTAGGGTTTAGGGTTTAAGGTTTAGGGTTTAGGGTGTAGGGTTCAGGGTTTTAGCAGTGCACGCCCAGTTAAACTGGAGGGCCCAAGCTCGAGAAGGCCATCTTGGTTTGCATCACATCTTCGAAAGTGCCGCCGGGAGAATAAAAGAAAACACGGAGGCATGCACAAACGTCTTGCACCATGCTGAAGCCCATGTCACTGGGCAAATGGTGCACCGGGAGCGAGACTTGTACAAGTCTGAAAGGAGCTTGTCAGATGCCATCAAAGCCTCGATATACCTTGCAGCATTGCCCAAGGACGTGCTGCTTCTCGCAATGAGAAGCGCCTAAGGTAAGGAGTCCAATGCAAAACCAGCTGCTCCGGTGCTAGGATCGACCTCGGCAACGCTGGTCCGCAACACACAAACCATGGTTTCTGTGTCATTTTGGGGATGGGGCAATATTTCGAACTCTCCAATCTCACGTGAACTCATGAGGCACGTGCGTCGCAGCTGGAGCGCATGAACCTACCATGGGCATGCAGACAAACACAATTCAGCATGAAAGCCATACTTTGGCACCCCGACAAGCCCCAAATCCCAAACCCTACAACCGTCACACTCTAACCCTTCTAGCTCTAGACCTAGAACCCTTCTAGATCACCCTTACAGGCACCCAACAGAAACCTACAGACCTCAACCCTATGCCCTAGCCCATCCCACTGCATTAAAGCAGAGGGCCCAATACTCCCTACTAGCAATAGAGGAACATACGTAATTTAGGGGCCTTCATAATTTGAACAGGATTTGGGGGTAAACTATACTATACTGACAAAAAGGAACTCCCAAAACAGCAGCGGTAATTATATTTAGGCCCCAATATTAAACTCATCATATGCAGCTCCTCGGTAATTATATACCCTTCTCAGGTTTAGGGTTTAGGGTACTCACTTCCACAGAATCTGAAAACTCGCTTCAAGCCAACACTAAAACTCTGAAATGCAATCTTTATCGGGTTTGGCACAGGGTTTTTGAGGGTTCTCTGTAGCTTACACATTCTTGGTGAGTGTTGAGGGGTTTTGGTGACTTGGCAGCGGTTAGAGCTCTCGGGTTTAGCATTTGAGGACTGCAGAACCGTGAATCTTATAACTTGGGTACTGCCCCCATACATTCACAGTCTATAATAGGGCTAGTATAAAGGGCCGTATATATATATATATATCTACATTCTGCATACATACTGAGCTGTTACTGAGTGGGGGCAGTATCCAACTTAAAGCCCCCCAAACCCCAACCACGCCACAAACAACCCTAGGGTTTAGGGTTTAGG